GTGGGCGCCGGCGCGGTGGGCCGCAGCGCGGGGTCACCATGGCGGAGCTGCAGCAGCTCCGCGTGCAGGAGGCAGTGGACTCCATGGTGAAGAGCCTGGAGAGGGAGAACATCCGGAAGATGCAGGTAGCGGCGCCGGGCCAGGGGCGCCCTCCGCTGAGCAGCCGGGGGCCGGGCCCTCCCCGCAGCCGCCTCGGGGGGCCTGCTCGGACCCGGGTGCGCTGCGGTCGCGGCGGCGGCGCAGGCCACACGCCTCGCGGGGCTTTTCCCGATGGGATGACATCCGTGCCCTCCCGCCGTGCGCACGGCCATTTCCCACTAATCCAGCCCGGCCGGAAGCGTGTGTGTCTGTAGGTCCGAGCTGGGCAGCTCCTCGTGGGAGACATTCTTCTCCCCTTCTCTCCCTTCATGGGCCGCCCCTGCCCCCCGCCCCTGTCCCCCACCCCGCCCTCGACAGCTCGAGGCCTAGACCGGCACGAGCCAAGGTGAAAGGCCAAGGTGAGAGACCGGAAAGACCAGCCTCCCTGATGGCCAGGACGGGCACCCATCCTGTCCCATCATACAGCGTGGCCTGTGTGACGTTCCTCTGTGAACCCTTCCGTGTTGTTTTGTGTCGGACGTGGCCAGCCTTTGCCGTGTCATACCAAAACCTCTGCCATCGGCTCAATTCTGACCCATAGCAAGACAGGGTAGAACTGCCCCTGTGGGTCTCGGAGGCTGTAACTCTTTTAAGGGAGTACAAAGCCTCGTCTTTGTTCCACGGAGCAGCTGGTGGTTTCGAACTGCTGACCTTACAGTTAGCAGCCCAACTCTGACCACTGTGCGACCAGGGCACCTGTGACCGGTAGTACAGAGCTGATTTTCAGAACATGGCGTCATCTGACCCACCCCAGCCATGGATGTAAACCAACTATCAATGAGCCGACAGCACAGAGTGTTTGTTATTAAACACTCCGACTAAGCACTACGGATAATTTTCCTGTTTGTGGTCCTGAGGCCTCGTTCCAGAGGGGCATGAAAGCAGAAGGCGGCTGGGGAGCCGCCAGTCTGTGTCGCAGAGGCTTTGATCCCTAACCCGACTCTGCTCTCCTTCCCCAGGGTGCCATGTTCCGGTGCAGCGCCAGCTGCTGTGAGGACAGCCTGGCCTCCATGCAGCAAGTGCACCAGTGCATTGAGCGCTGCCATGCGCCGCTGGCGCAAGCCCAGGCCCTGGTGACCAGCGAACTGGAGAGGTTCCAGGTGAGAAACGGCCCACGTGGAAGAGTATGGTGAGGAGACCCAGGAAGTTGTTCTTTTACAAGAGCTGACAAGCATTTGTTCAAGAATCTTGGCCTTCGTGACGTGACCCTTTTGATATTTGTGATGGACATAAGGCCAGAGTCTTCCTGTGACTTGAAAGTTGGGGGGAAGGCTTAGAAGTTGAAGACCAGAAATCAGACCATATTTCACTTTGGAAACAATGTGATACAAAGGCATTATGTTCATAACCATGCGTCTTAGGCCTTCCTCCCCACCCCACCCCACCCCCTTTTTTAATTTTTACTTTTTCTTGCCATAAACACAGTCTGTAGACTGTAAATATAAATAAAGCCTTCTGGATCCCAGAGGAACCTTGGGAGATAGGCCTGGTGACCCACTTTGAAATCAGCCACTGAAAACCCTACAAAGAGTTCTATACTTGACAGATGTTAGTCTACCCAGGAGGGGGTGGTGAAAATGTATATTGATTGATAAACAGCGTATTTTAAGACAGTAGCAGAATCTGCACGGGGCTGGACTAGGCCAGTATGAAAAATATCAAGATTAAAGCAAGACCCTGCTACCATTTTGTAAACGTAGACACCTACCCGAGACTGCCCCTAACGGCTATATCCGAATGGGAGAGCGCCTCCCTCAGAAGACAGTAGTCTCTGAGAGAGAGATTGTCGTTACTCTTGTGGGTTCACCGATGGCTCGTTCACCAGCCCCTCTAAGGTGACAGCAATGGCTCCATTTGTCCTCTGGAGTGAAAGACATCAACAATTTCACTTTATTTCCTTCCTCTCTGTACACGTCAGTAGAACTTGGGAAACAGGGCCTGTCCCTAACCCAGGGTTGAATAGCCTGAGGTCCTATGCCTGGGGGAAAGCAGCGGATGTTTTTATGGGATACGTTTTTACATTTTGCTCCTTCTGGATTCCTGCCATTGTGAAGGAGGGAGAAACCATGATTTCTCCAAAGTCAGAGAATTTCAAAGGGTTTCTTTGGGGTTCGTTTTGGCAGCTGGTTTTCAAAACGCACTTCTTAGGTTGCTGGATAATTTTATCCTTCCATTTTCCACCCTCTCCACTCAGACTCCCCCTGTGTCAGCGTGCTTTGCAGCGGTCGTTTCTCTGTCCTCGTCCTACGAGGCCTGTCTGCATCGTTAAAGTAGGTGGTCACTCGCCTTCTCTTTGGAACACCTATTAACTTGGCCTTCGGAATACCCACGCTCCTGCTGGCCCTCTTCCCTCCCTGACCACCCTCTCCCGGCCACGTTTGCTGATCCCGCCCCACCATCATTTGAGCACTGGCGTGTCCAAATCCATAGAATTTTTCTAGCCTCTGCTAGTCTTACACAGTAGCCCTAAGTGCCATCGACATGCTGACAATTCCTACATTCACACTCGAGACCAGACTTTGCACCTGCATGCCAGATTCATGTCACCAACTGCAATGATTCCACTTAGTTCTTTCTGTCTCTCCCCTGCCTAGGTGTGAGTTCTGCCAGGGCGGGGACTGTTTTACTTACGCCTGCGTTTCCCAGCAGAAGATGCTGGGCACATAGTAGATGCTCAGTGATGCTTGTTGAAGTCAGTTTTTCTGTAGCATGGACAGACATGAAGGAATCAACATGTTTGTAAGTCTTTCCGTAGTTTGGGGCCTCTAAGCTCCAGGAACCTCCACTTCCTGGAAGCACTGTATACAATTCATTCCATCATGTGCCTGCTTTCTGGATTTGATAGCTCTGGACCCATCTGCTACCACTCAAAAAAACCCCACTCACTGCCATCGAGTCGATTCCGGCTCATAGCGACCCTACAGGACAGGGTAGAACTGCTGCCCCTGTGGGTTTCCGAGACTCCATAGTCTTAGGTAGAAACCAGACCCGTTGCCACGAAGGCCACAGCACCCCACGTGTGTCCGACGAGGGGTGCTCTCATAGGGCTTTCCATGGCTGGTTTTTTGGAAGTAGATTACTGGGTCTACTCGTGGATCTTGGAAGTGGATCACTCATCCAAGGCTCTTCTGAATAGATGGAACTACTAACCTTTCAATTAGTAACTGAGTGCTTAATCATTTACCCCACCCAAGAACTCCCACCTAACGTTGCATACCTGCACTGGAAACAGAAAGCAAAAACAATTGTCATCGATCAGTGCCAACTCACGGCCACCTTGCCTGGTTAGAATAGAAAGTTGCACTACAGGGTTCTCTCTGGCTGATATTTTGGAAGTGGATCACCAAGGCTTTCTTCTGAGGTATCTCCAGGTGGATTCGAATGTCATCCTTTCAGTTAGTAGCACCACCCAGGGACTCCCAACTGCACTACAAGAAAAAAAAAAATCTGACTCCTAGTGACGCCCCTACAAGGCCAGGAGAACTCCCGTGAGTTTCTGAGACTGTCACGCTTAGGGAGTAGAAAGCCCATCTTTCTTCCACCGTGCAGCTGATGGTTTTGAACTGCTGGCCTTGCATTTAGCAGCCCACCACGTAACCACGATGCCACCACGGCTCTTCACTATCATGTCCCTTTAATGAATCAAGGTCATGTCCGAAGGTAATTTTCCCAAAAGATGTGTGAGAGAAAAAAAACATTATCTCATGATTCCATTTACCGCAATCTGTGAAGCCCTATCAAGTGGCAGAGCCTTATACCACAGGGCCTGGCACATGATAGGCACTCGGTAATGAGGCAGCTTCTCACCCTTCTCTGCCCCCTTCCTTCGTGCCACAGGACCGCCTGGCCCGGTGTACCATGCACTGCAACGACAAAGCCAAAGACTCAATGGATGCCGGGAGTAAAGAGCTGCAGGTGAAGCAGCAGCTGGAGAGCTGTGTGACCAGATGTGTGGATGACCACATGCACCTCATCCCGTCCATGACCAAGAAGATGAAGGAGTCCCTCTCTTCCATCGCAAAATAAATGTCTGCCAGAGGCCACTGGGGATCAGGGCAGGAATCTTTATAAAAAAGAAGAAGGGGAACTTGGGTCTTTTAAGTGAATTTTATGAAAGGGAAAAAAAAAAAAAGGATAGCAGCAAGTTTAAGGAATATCACCTGGCTCTGGACACCGGCTCTTTTATCAATTCTAGCTCACAGGAAGGAAATTGGGCAAGCTGGTGCTGTCATTTGGGTTGGAGGTCGTACGAGTAAGTTACGTGGAGTCTCAGTTGTATGTGGCAGGTGCTTATCCTGATCGTGGGTCTCTCCCTTGCTGTCCTGAGCCAGAGCCATCCCAGGGCACCCGAGTCTCCTGAGTTTACAGGTACCAGCATGCTGGCACGTCCCTCCAACCTGTCTGTAATCTGGTGGAGTTTTAGGAGTATTTCTGTTTCTCGCCAACCTCCTGTTTACAAGAAGTCTTGTCACCCCATTTTCCATAAGCTGTAAGACAAAATGCATGAGAACAATAATTCAGAAGAGGAAAATGGAAATGGAGGTCTTTGTTTCGTTCGGTTTTGTTTTATATGCAAGGGTCCGACAGTGATTCAGATGTCAAGTCGGGAGACAGGGTGGTTGGGATAAGATCTTTGAAAGGCTCTTTGGCCTCATCTGGCTCTCAAGATAGGCTGTTCTTGAAATTGGCACACATGGACTCTCAGCACAGACACTGCAAAAACCTGAAAGAGTGTCCCTCTGGCTGTGGGAGGCAGAGCTTCCTTTCCACTGGCCGTCCTGGTGGCCCCAAAGCTGTGTGCAGCAGTGACAGGACCATCTCTTCCCCTGGAAGCAAAGGGGGTCTGGACAGTGAAGTGTGTACCAGTAACTGTTAATGAACACTAAGAGGGAAACTGGTGGCAGCCGAAAGAAATGAAAGCCGAAACAGGACATTACTTACTGGTTCATTGAGTCGGCCCAACTCAAGGTGCCCTTTTTGTGTACAACAAAACACATCTTGCCAAGCCTGTGCAATCGCTGTGATCACTGACGTGTGTGGTCCCAGTGTCTGTCTCACAGAGGGTTTCATTTTTGTTGGCCCTCTCCCAAACAGAATGCCTTCTTTTAACTGATGGGTCTTTCCTGGTGGCATGTCCAACTGCTTTCTTATCCCCTGTGTTATCAGAGTCCTGTTAGCCAATCTCCCGGCAACAGGACAGTCGAGGGAGAAAAAGTGAGTGAGTGACTCAGGGGTAAGGGAGACCTGTGACTCTTCTAGAGCCAAGGAGGGCCACCCCATTATCAAATGCCACTTTCTTTCTGCCCAAAGCCTCTAGTGTGATGTTCCTACTTCAGTGACACCTTATTTCCATAAGGGACATGTCACCTTTCTACCAACTTAATACCTGAAGTGTGATAATACGGCCTGTCTGCTGTTTCAAAACTGTGATATATTTTCCTAGTGGTTTAATTAAAAGAGTTTTACTTTTCCCCACCCTATTGTGTTTCTTTCCTCATAGCTGAAACTTGTCTTACATAACTTTCTCAGGGCTTGTAATGTGTGAGAAGAGTTTTATGAAGACAACATACAGAAGAGTGATAGTAGTTACGTGTGTGCAGTAGTATTTCGTTGAAAACAGGGAAAACTTTGAGGAAGGCTGGGGAAGTCTTAATGTAAAAAAAACTGTTTAAGGAACTTTTAAAGAACAGTACAATACAAAAAAACAAACCCAGTATAATATCCATGTAAGGTCTCTAGTCTCAGCTAGACACTAACAGCAATAAGTATAAATGATATATTGATCCCCTCAAGAAAATTCAATGTGTAGGATTTTAAGTATCAAGAGAATATAAAATGTGAGTTTTAAGTTCTTAATTATAATTGGTATTTAAGTAGAACCATCTATGAACATTAGGAATAAATTTAGTTTACGAGAATGACCTCTTGGAATCAACAAAGTGTATAAAGCAGAAATTACTAATCACTGTTATTCAGTCGATTTGGACTTGTAATCCTACAGCAGTTCTCAACCTGTGGGCTGCGACCCCTTTGGGGGTCGAATGATTCATAGGGGTCACCCGATTGATAACTAGCAAAATTACAGTTATGAAGTGGCAACAAAAATTCTGGTTGGGGGGTCACCACAACATAAGGAACTGCATTAAAGGATCACGGCATTAGGAGGGTTGAGAACCACTGCTCTAGAACAAGATAGAATTGGACCTGTGGGATTCAGAGAAAGTAATTCTTTACAGGAGCAGAAAACCATCTTTCTGCCATGGAGTGGCTGGTGGTTTCGAACTGCAGACATTGTGGTTAGCAGCCCAACTCATAACCACGACACCAGTTTAAAGCAGAAATAGCCCTTTTTCTATTTGGAGTAAATTCGCAACTGGGAACAAGTTGGGGGTCATCTTTGACGCTGTGTGCTGGACATGAAAATTCAGTTCTTCATAATAGACTTGTGTCTTGCACTTTACATTTTATATATAGGGGCAATATAGCCCAACAACCGCCATCAAGTTGATTCTGACTCAGCAACCTTGTATAGGGTCTCCAAAGAGATAAATGTAAAATGTATATATGTATTCAAGGCTGTACATCTTTACAGAAGCAGATCTACAGGGGCAATGTATTCTGGGGCCTTCCATCAGGAATTTGAGGGTGCTTTAAAGTGTGGGTACTTAAGAACTCAAGATACAGAGACTGAGGCTCTTAGGGTGAAAAACTCATTCATGTAACCGGAGCCCTTGTCTTGATGCTATGTTGTGAGATAAATGCCAAAGGAATATCTATAATGGAATTCTTGCAGGCCAGAAACCCTGCTGATTGCTGGCCAATGCACCGCAAGCATATTCAGCCGCCTCCCTTTCATCAGTGGAGCGTGACACGTGCCGATGATGCTGAGCAGTTTTCAAAGGCACTTCAAGACTAAGACGGACCAGCAAGATAGGCTTAGCTATCTACCGTGCTTCCAAAAAATCAGCCTCTAATACCCTGATCCCGTTGTGCACGGGTTTGCCTTAACTCGGGCAAATTGAACATTTGGTGCATAAGAAAAAATTAAGTGAATGTAACTCAGAAACCTCAGGACCGGATGTTTAATTTTATACAAGAATGAACCGGTATTAACTGAATCTGATTACACAGCTCATTTGAAAGGTGGTTTAGTCATGGAGTGGGAAGAGAGAAAGAAAATGTCCTGAAATTGATTGTGGTAATGATCGTACAATTCTTCTTGACATGATTGAACGATTGAATTGTATGAAGTAGAAAGATCATGTGCCAATAAAACAGGTGGGGTGGAGGGAAGTGAACCGGAACTGAGGATCGCTCCCTGGCCAATCCCTTACCACGCAACCGGAAACTCAAAGCCGAGAGCCACGTTCCGGGTAAAGTATCGCGAGGTGAGACGCCATCTGTCTATTGGCTAACCGGACCAGTGACGTCAGACGCCAAGACGCCGACCGACCGCGGGAGCGTGAGAGGAGCCGCGAATTCTGTTTCAAGGCAGCGCTGACCCTCCAGAGAAGACACAATGAGCAAGGCTCATCCGCCCGAGTTGAAAAAGTAAGTGCCTGTCAAGGCCAAGTCGAAGTGGTAGCCTCCCGGTGAGCTACAAGTGCTTTCGACCCCCCGTTTCCCGTCTGCGCGCCCCGGCGGCGTAGGCCGAGGAGCGCGGGCCCCCTGCGCCTCCCCTCCTTCCAGCCCGCGGCCGCGCAGCCGGGTTTCTAAAGCAGCGAGGGCGCCCCCGTTCCGCCTGGGGACCTTCCGGGCCCCCGAGCTTCCCACCTCACATCTCCACGGGCTGCCCTTGGCTAGGGCGCCGCGACACCCCCCTTTGTGGAACGTGCGAGTAGCGTCGTGCTCCGGCTAAAGTGGCTGCCGTGCAAGCCTTGGATAGGAGGAGACAAAAGCCGCTTGCATCCTAGAGAGTGGGTTGTGCTGTTTGAACATTTACATGTAATTACAATTCCTGGCCTCTTATGCAGATTTAGACTTGGCTTTCCCTGGCCTCGTATGCAGATTTAGACATGCTCTGATCAGCAACGTTGTGTGAGACCGTTTTGCTCATCCCAGAAGGCCGGGCGTTTTTGTAATTTTTCCTGCACTCGGTAGACCTCGAAACCGGACTCTGTAAACAGGCCAGCCTGCTTTATCAGGACCCGCAGTTTGAAGCTTTTAACTTTTCAAACGCTGCTTGACTGGACATAGCTCGTGGTGTGTCTCCTAAGTCTTGTATGTCTGGGGGGTTGGTGGGGGGTTTTTTAATGCTGAGATGCTTGCTGGCGTCGCTGGGTTGCCCCAGGGATCACTTTCTGGTCCGCCATCCAGGTCTGCTCTATGTATAGTTCCTTTGTTGACGACGCTTGAAGTCAGAGGGAAGAAAAAGCTCTTCTCGGTTTTACGTTTAAATGCACATTTGGTGCTTGATACAATTAATGTTATCAATTGATTGTTACAAGAGCTGTAAGAACCCCCAATAAGATTATTTTTTTAATAAAATAAGTGCACATTTGTATCCAAGCCAGCCTTTGTATGGAATTTGCGCTTTTAATGTGTAGGCCTAACATTAAGAAAATTAGAAATTGTCGCAAAAATACTTGCTGAAATTCATTCTTTTGTTGGTGGGTGCACTTGGATCCCCAGGCTACATCAGAAACCGGTGAAATTGTGTTTACTTTTTTAATAAAAGGATCATGCTTGCATTTTAGGGTTCATTTCCCATTCTTAATATGTTATTTGAGAGGATGAAACTAGTTTTGAAACTTTGCTCATCTAACCCCTTTGTTTAATGAGTTAGAAAATTCTGTCAGTTCTGCTTCTAAAATGTCAAAACTTGTACCCCCTCCTTTGCTTTATTGGAGCCTGGTGGCTTAGGGGATATTCCTGCGGCTGTGATGTGAGAGGTCAGTAGTTGGAAACCACAAGGGAGAAAGACAGGGCTTTTCTCCTCTAAACAATTGCAGTGTTGTAAAGTTGCTGTGAGTAGGGACGGTTCATGCAGAGTCTCGTTTTGGTTTTTTGTTGCTTTCTTGCAAGCATCATCATCTTTCACAACTTTGTGCTTTCCTCCCTGTTGGCATTGTCTTGTAAGTATTGGACTGCTAACCACAATGCCACTGGGAAGGAGAAAAGTGAGGCTCTGCTCCCATAAAGATTTACAGCCTCAAGAACCCTATCTAGGATTGCTAGGGGGTTGGTTTGCCTTGGTTTAGTGGTTTTAGCATAGCTCAGTGGTTCTTAATTTTATATATTAAAGTGTATTAATATATAAATATTATATAATAATATATAAATATTAATTGGACATGTTTTGATTCGTACTTCCATCATACCTTGGCATTTATCTACGGGTTAGTTCTTCTCTGCTATGCTATACCTATGAATCGAATTCCTGATTTTCTAGCTTCAGAGTAGCTGGAAGAGAACAAATGAATTTGATTGCAGGGTTTCATATTCTCATACTGTTGCTGAGAGGAGATTTTCTTTTAATCCAAATGGTTTCATTTCAAATGAACGTTCAATTTTGCCCGAGACCAGAATGACTAGATGGTGCCCAGCTATCATGGTAGAATATGTTGTTTATAGGAAAAGAATCTTGATCATAAGGGCAAGAGATGTGGAGCTGAGTTTCAAATTTTTGTGGAAATTAGTTTTTTCTGAAGCTTCTGAGGTTGAATTAATCCTTAAAACTATTGTCTTGGAATAATCTTTAAACCTAAATAAAAAAATAAATCCTGAAGTCTTCCAGCCAAACAGTAGTTTAACTTAATTTTTAAATTACGTGTGCCTTAAGCATTGTGCTTTTTAAAAGATATGACATGGGACCAAATTGATAACTGCAAAAAGGTTAGACAGAAACTTGAGGGATCGTGAGTTTGTGTTAATGAAGGAGGAACAATTTGGAGAAAGCAGGAGAATAGTTACACAGTTTTGGTAATCAGGACCCCTGAATTGTATGTGTAGAAATTAATGAATTATGATATGCTGTTGTACATGTTTTCAACAAAAATATATTTAAAGGAATATTGTGCTAAGGTATACCTATCCTGAACACTTAAAACAGCACTAATTATTTTTCCAGAAGTAAATTGCTTAATGGATTGGATGTGGTTTTGTTACCCGCTGGTGTCTTCATGGTTTGTTGGAATTAACAAAATGTAGCCAAATCTGTGTGTTTCTGTTGGGGCTATAAAATCCAATCACTGAAAATGAGGTTAGTATTGGTGGAGGAGTGGGTTAAGCATTGGGCTGTTAATTAACCACAAGGCCAGGAATTCGAGTGCATTCGCTTCTTTGCAGTGAGAAAGATGGGCTGCCTGCTCCCACAAACATTTTGATGTAGAAATCCTATGGAGAAAGTAATGTATACTTTTTTTAAAACTATCCCCTCCACACACAGGCTCATAAACTATATTGCTGTGTATTTTAGCTACTTTAGGTAGCTCCTTACTACCTCACTCTCTACATTGATAGGTTTTTACCATTTTAAATTTCATTGTTTCTATTGTGTAAATTGTACTGACTATACCTAATTCTATGCTTACTTATACTTCAATTTTTTTAATCAGCTAGTAATATTTACTTTCTTTTTTGCCAGATTTATGGACAAGAAGTTATCATGTAAGTGCTTTTTTTTAACCTTTTTTTTTTTTTTTGTCTTGACAATATATAATGTTCGGAACAATTTTGTAAAAATTTAGTACACTGTATGGATTGTAATGAGTTGTATGATCCCTTGATAAAATGGTTTTTAAAAAATATTTAGCACACATTGAACCATTAATTCGCATCCATTAATTAAACAGGCTTACAGAATCCTAACTAGATAATTTTATTTAGTTCCTAATATTTTAGAAGTTTAAACCATTTCAGACTTTTTACTACAAGGAGTCCCTGAGTCTCCTGCATCTGGGTTATGAACATCCAGCAGTTACAGACCAATCCCATAAAGCTTATTGTATTAAAATTTCAAGGTATATGTAGTGGCTTATAATTTTTTAAAAAAGGAGTCACTATGATGCAGCATGTAATTACTCCTGTACATTAACAGCATTAATTCTGTTCATTGAATTGGGTTTTGCTTGTTTTTGCTTAAAACAATAGGCAAGACTTTAGGGGGAAGATCCTGGTCTATTCCAGAAAGGTGAAAAATGAAACTAGTGTTTCCTTTGCAGCAAGCCTTTAAGGAAACAGCATGATGTATCTAACATAACTTTTTTTCCTTTTATAGTGAAATTAAATGGTGGCAGGCATGTCCAAGGGATACTTCGGGGATTTGATCCCTTTATGAATCTTGTGATAGATGAATGTGTGGAGATGGCAACTAGTGGACAACAGAACAATATTGGAATGGTGGTAAGTAAAGAGGGGGTTTCCCTTTAGTGCTTGCATTCTGGATTCTCCATCCTTCTTTTAGTTTAACTTAGCCGTCAGTCAGCTGCAATAATATCCCTCCCTGTCACCTGTCGGCAAGACCGCAACCATATGGAGCCCTCCAAGGTCTTTGGGTTTGATAGAGCTATTGAAAGTCACGTTTAGCCTGGTTCCAATTTAAAGGTCCCTAGTCCGTCATTAGTGCGATGGTTTCTCGGTCTTAAGTCCTCCTGGTTCCCTTGATTCTAATGTGAAGCCAAGATTAACTGCTAAATTTAGAGCCTTTATAATCACATTAGAAATTTTATAAGAAATTATTACCCCAGATCCATCCCCATAAGAGTTCTTTCCAATCCAGGACATACCTAAAAATAGTGGCATTGCAGGTTAGGTGTTGGGCTGCAAGCTATAAAGTTGGAGGTTCAAACCCACCAACCACTCCATGGAAGATGATGCTGTCAGCTCCTGTACAGTGTTGCCATCTCAGAAACCTTGCACCAGGGGTGCTATGAGGTGGCCTCAGTGGCAGTGGGGGGACATGCTTCAGGACCTCTGCGAGGTTATTTCAGTGGCTGTTTTGGGTTGTGGCAGCTCATAGTCTTAGTAGCAAGCTATATACCATATATACTTGTGTGGAGCCTGTGTTTTTCAGCATGTTTTTATGCAGTTTTCGTGGTAAAATTAGGTGCCTTGGCTGAAAACTCGGGTCGGCTTATAGTCGGGTATATACAATATTTTCAGTAGGCTTAAATTCACTAAGTAGCACTTTACCAAAACGATTTACATGCAACAAAAGGAGTAAGATCATGGAATTATGGGCCTAATGACTTTAGGTTGAAAAATTGGGCCTCAAATACTGTGTCAAAAAAAGAACATTGTGAGATGGAAACATTCACCAACTAAGCTTATTTTCTATAACGTGAGAAGGCAAGAAAGAGTGTTATTACCCTTTTAAGGAAATGTTCTTATACATAATGGGTTTTTTAATGATGTTAAAAGGAAACCTCTTGGAACTAAAAATCAGTCATCTGAAATCGCTTCTCTCGGCAAGTCCGGGGACAAATTTGAAGGAGCTTGAAGGACTGACTAGGTTTTCATGTGTTGATCAGTTATGATCTTCATCAACTATAGTTAGAAGCTAGAAACTTAAGAGAATTAGCTAAGCATGTTGGTTAGCTTTTCAACATTTCCATTCCTAATTTACCAGAATAGAGTGTCAGTGGGCTCTTTCAATGTGCCTTTTTAGGGTTAAAAAAATATTGGCGGGGGGGCACCCCCACACCATACTCATTATGTGCCAGATTCTGGGACACTGCCCTCTATCCTGGTCCAGTCTGTCTGGTGTGGTTTGATCACATAGGAGTTTGTTTACTTTCCAGGTACCTATTGAGTTCTATATATATACTATTTTAGATACGTAGGGGTATTGTACCAAAGTCCCTGCCCACATGGAAAGTATATCTGAATGGGGTAAACAGTATTCGTATATGTATAAATAAACTAGAATGGAGGAAAAAATAGTTATAGACCTACTCTCTTAGCTGCCTGCAGCCAAATCTCCACTTTGTCTTCTTAATGCAAATACTTCTGTTTCTAATGTTGTTGGTTCTAATGTGTGGCCACCTTATGCGCAACAAGACACTGCCCAGGCTTGTGCCATCTTCACCACTGCTCCCACGCTTGAGCCTGCCAGTCCTCCCCGAGGACATTCCTCTTCCTTGCCTCTCCACTTCCCCAAGTGTGATGTTCCTTAAGGATTCCTCTCCCGACAACATGGCCAAGCAATTATTTCTAATACACGCTTTCTATTTCTCATCATCCCCCGATTTCTTTCACCGATACGACTCCTACTTGAGTTGGGTTTTGATCTACTGTTGCCAGTTCTCAACTGCTCCTTAGCCTTCCACGTAACCCTGGTGGCACACCATCGTGAAGTGCTTGGCTGGTAAAGTGAATGGTTAGTAATTCATACTCACCGGTGACGACTCCTGCCCCTCATGAGCTCAGTTAGCAGCTGTTTCATTTCTTCTCATACGTAACCTTCCTAGTCTTCATTTATGAAGTGCCTGAAGCGTGAAAGACCTTGTAACTTGTCTTCCAGCTTCCCTGAGCTGTCTGTCATTCAGTTTCATGCTGTTGCCCGAGCAGTAAGACTATCATTCCTTAAGTGTGACGCTTTTACTGGCTCATTGTTGGTTTCATAGTGCTTTACGCACATGCACTAATCTGGCATTAGAGGTCACTTGAGATTGATGCCAACATTGATCCCTATTCCCTTTTTTCCTTATTCCCTTTGTATTTTCATCTCCATTCTGTCTGAAGCTGCGTATTTACCTATCAGTTTTCTACCCAACTTTCAAGGCAGATAAATAAAAACACCCTCTTCATAAAGTGATTTAAGCCACTTCCTTTCTGTTCCCTAAATTTCTTTAAACTCCACATCAGAAGGTTCATGGAAAAACAAAAGATAATGGAATTTTCCCACTCTTTGAAGCTCCCTCATCATAAGTACCTGAGTAGGAGAGGTGAGCATGTATACATTTGGATGATCTAGTTTAGTAGAGGTAATGAGTTAGTGGAGACTTGCCATGCCATCTCAAAATGCTCAGTTTAGCCTTTAGCTAGAAAGATGTGCATCTCACCTAGACAGGGCTGTGTAGCTCAATATCACTCATTAAGATTTGACTAACACATTGCATTAGGTAAATCTAATCTGCTGCACAAAACCTCTTTACAGTGTTGAAAAGCAAGGAGTTACTTTGAGCACTAAGGTGCAGCCATGGAATTTCAATTGTCCTCAATCTGTTTAAAAGTTGAACATTGAAAAAAGGAAGACTGAAGAATCTATGCCTTTGAATTATCTAAAGTACCATGGACTGTCAAAAGAACAAACAGATCAGTCTGTCTTGGAAGCATTATAGCCAGAATGCTCCTTAGAAGCAAGGATGGCTAAACTTTATCTCTAGTGCTTTGGACGGGTCAGGAAAAACTGGTCCCTGAAGGGCTTGGGGGGGTTGGGTAGGAAGACCCTTTCCACAAGGTGGGCTGACAGTGCTCAGGCACAGGGACAGTTGTGCAGGTGGCACGGGTCCAAGCAGTGTTTGGCTGTTGTACACGGACTTGCTGTCAGAACAAATGCAAGGGCACTGACAACTCCGTGACTTAAATTAACCCTCATCACTGACAGCAAGGTTGAATCACATTAATGCTTTGATAGAACTCTATCTTCATACTTCTAAGTGAATTGTTTTCCTGATTGTTTGTTTTGGGGTTTTTTAGGTGATAAGAGGCAATAGTATCATCATGTTAGAAGCCTTGGAGCGAGTATGATAGCTACGTTCAACATTCTATCTACATCAGTTGTTTCTACGCACCCCGCTTTACTACAGTGTAAAAATGAGGCTATGTACATTTTTCACGTTCAATTTTTTTTGTTAAATAAACTTTTATAATAGTAAAAAATGCTTCCTCTTGGATACTCTTTGAGTATAGAATTAAAACATTACCTTTTATTCTAGCATTTCCAACATGAATTTCACCTGGTGTTTTTAAGTTTTTATTTCAATCAATTGTCACTTATTACATGGAAGAATTTTACCAGAACTTTGCAAACAATGAACAAAGATAAGCCGGAAACATAAGTTCTGAAACATTCTCAAACTTTAGAAACTTAGAATTAGTAACTATTCTAATGACTTCCAAATACATCCACATTTGAAGTATAAGAGCAGTAAGACACAAGCAGTTAATGATGTAGTTCTTTATTTTAAATGGGTTTATTCCAGAGAAAAACCTTCCAGCGTGGTGGTCTTTGTAGACATGACAGCGAAAATGCAACCCACCATATATTCACCGAGTTCATTCTATGGCTCACCAGATTGGTAACTGGGGAGTTACTACAGATGGTTGTATTTATAAACATATCTTTAGGAAACTTCAATAAATGGGTAGGCCTATTTCTGTAATCTCGTAAAAATTGTAGGGAATGGAGTCTCAAATGGTACTTTCCATTTAAAGAAGAGTTTGCAGAAAAGCTGGAAGGTTCAAAATAAAGACCAGTGTGAAGTCCGATGCATTTTTTCCCCCCAGTTTCTCGGGGATTGTTTTTGTTTAATCTTCATTGATGTTGATAGACTTGGCGTTTTTTGCAGCCACACAAAGTTGACAGTAGAGCAGTGGTTCTGTAAATGCAGTTTCTAAACTAGCAACATCACCTGGGGACATTTTAATTTTGTCCCACTCCAAACCTACTGAATGAAACTCGGGGTAAGGTCCAACAGTGGTTCAACCAGCTCTTCAGGTGAGTCTGATGCCGGCTCAGGTTGGACCACTCCTGTAGCGCTGGCTTTCCTTCAGCCCTGGCACGGTTCTCACAAGTCTCTCCTAGGGAAAGGGTTAGAGGTCTGCTGTAGTAGCAGATTCTGATTATTTCTCCCAAGATTCTGTGAATACTGTATTCTATTAAGTGCCTGGTGACGCAGTGGTCAAAACGCTTGGGAGAAATGTGGCAATCTACTTCCATCAGATTTACAACCTGGGAACCCCATGGGGCAATTCTACTCTGCCCTTAAAGTTAACGAAAGTCAGAATGACTTAAAGGCCTTGCGTTTGGCTTAACATTGAGTAAGACATACCTGTTTTCCTCTGACAAAGCAAGTTAGAGTTGGAAAAAAGTACAGATTTGTTAATACCAATAACATTGGCATTCTAAGTAAAAATATTTCCCATCATTAGAAATTGCCCTAGATATCAGCAAAGAACCCAGGTGGTGCGGTGAGCAAAGCATTGGGCTGCTAACCACAAGGTCAGAGGTTCAAACCCATCAGCTGCCTCAAGAGATGGTTGGAACTAGCTGCGCCCATCAAGATTCAAATTGAGCCTCACAATGGACCTGGTCTCCTGTAGGAACACTAGGACTGAATGAACACAACCAGCAGTGGGTTCGGTTGGTGGCTAGTTCTAGTATCGCCACTTGCCAATATCTTCATTCAAACCACAAGACAGAAATATGAATGCCTCAACATATTTGTTGAGAATAAGATTAGAAAAAGCTGCCCTTAAACCAAGAATTTAATTGCTGCCTCTGTAGCAATTTGGCAGTTTTATCAGCAAATTAATATTCACAATTATATTTGTACTAAAGAAGAAATAATTTTCACTATATGATGTTCACTTACACCTTTTTGCTAAAATAACTCCTATCATCTGGAGGACCTCTTTTTAATAATGGTGCTTACTAACTTGGTTGCATTTAGTATTGTAACTTAGAATCTTTTGCTTGTTAAGTCTGGTAGCTATATCATTCCTGCTCAATGCATACAGACTTCTGATTTATCAATCACTCGTACTTGTCCTGTAATGGCCCTTAATGTTAGGTATATTTGTCCTCACTTTGAAATGACTCAACTAATCCCTGCTTGCAACAAATTCATAAAAACACCTTCATGTGTAGCTTTGTTCTGCATTGAAAGCTAAATAAGAATTAAATGCACCTGGTTGTGAATTACAATTTGACTTAAACGAACTGACCTTGTTCGTAACCAGGGATTGCCTATAGATATAGAACTAAATTTCCACCCTACAATCATGGGAAGATATATCTGCTCTTCAGATGATTCCGGTGAGCAGCCACAACTGAAGACCGCTGCCTTAAATGGGTATTACAGCAACCAATTTCTCACTCAGAATGCCACACTAGCTGTGATGGCAGCACACAGTGACCCAACGGCAGAGTAGAACGGCCCCGTGGGCTTGTTTCTTGGGCTGTACATCTTTAAGGGAAGGGGAAGCTTCAGCTTTCTCCCTCGAAGCGGCTGGGAGCTTCTAACTGCTGGGCCATGGTTAGCAGCCCAATGTGTATGCCACTATGCCACAGGCTCCTTACACTAGCTTTAAAGACAGATCTTTAACACTGAACACACATGACTCGGTGAGGTTTGATGCGTTCCGAATAGCCTACTCTACCAACTAGAGTTAAGTTGCCTTTGCCGTTGCTACTGACTCAAGAGTACCACTAAAGCTGCCGCTGGGAGAAATTCTCTGCAAAAAGGATCTGCTTTGCTAATGAAGTAGGTTGCTTAGGACTTTCTTGGTACTGAAATGCCGCTGTAGGCATTTTCACTCCTTGTACAGGAAGTATTTTACCTTTAATTGACCCAGCAGTCGAAGTCCACTGTCGAATTTATATTGGATCATTCTCAATCCTGGCTGCACATTAGAACTGTAAAAATCAGTGCTAAGGCCCCATCCGCAGTGCATGAAGTCAGAATCTCCAGTAATGAGTACCTATCAGTGTTGTTTAGGTTTGGTAATAAAATTCCAATTTCTTAAATCAATAACTTCAGACTGTATGGCATCGTAACGTTGGATTATTAAGACTTCTAAATTTCACCTCTAGTAAAAGGGATTGAAGGTCAAAAAACGGTCTGAAATCATAATGCCAGGCATACCCACCACCCCACTCCTGTAGTAGTTTTGATCTGACTGAAGATCATGTCCAGCTGTAACGACTATTCTCAAAAATGCTCTACAACCTGATTCAGAAGCCAAACCCACACCCTGAGACCTACCGAATTGGTCCCCAAGAGGAGTTTGGGAAGGTGTATTTTTAACAAAGCCCGGACGATTCTTACCATCAGACATTTGAAACACACTGCTTGTGGAGCCTGAAAGCAGTGAGGAAAGTGTGTCGATAGCAGTATGCCTCCCTGCTTAATTAAAACTTATTTCCTCATGGCCCAAAGGGATTACTTTTGTTAAGCAATGATAACGGCAAAATAGCTGGTTCAAAATCACCTCTGCTCAGAATTTATCATCTTTTTTTTGCCGAGAATAACCCATTTGGAACCAGAAAGGGACAAAGAGCTGGCGTGACTCACAGTTCGGTTTTAAGCTTTTCATATAAGCCCTCCTGGTCAACCATGTCTGTGTGCCCATTCCAGCGGTGGTAGGCCAGCAGAGCAGCGTTGTGGGCTCCAATGGCACTCATTTCCATGGCACTGGCCGCACACTCGATGCCGTTGAGATAGTAGAGATGATCATGGAGGACGATGGAGGGGCATTTCTCCGGAGGCTTATACTGAGGATATGCGAGCCATGGCTTTTTCACCGCATAATCATAGGACAGAAAGAGCTTTAAGATTTGCCTTTTACTAAGAGTGTCTTCAGAAAAAATCTTCCAAACGTGTGTCCCATCTGTAGTTGGCTCAGGCGTGTCCGGTTCTCTTACAGGGGACACAATGCCGATGCTGTTAATGAACAAATCTGGGTTATCAGTGGTTAGGACTGCAGTGAGATCAAATTTATTTAAGGCTCTGGCGCTAAAGATCGTTGTATTCAGTTCTCCCTTAACTAGAGTTGTCACTATGTGTTTGTAGTGCTGGTGGAATTCCTCGACTGCAGGATCAAAGTTGAGAAAGGTTATATTGGACATTTTTCGGTTCAATGGAGTGGCCACCAAGACGATGTCATAGAAGCCTGAGTGGACTTCAGATCCGGTTTGGTAGACCACTTCATACCTCTTAGTGGGACGCCCTAGAAGGAATACGGAAGCACACACGTTAGCGTTTCTAACACACGACCCTTCAGACCTCTAAAACTTGTAGGCAAACAGTCCCATCACTCGAAGGAATTCTTCCTTAAGATAATGGTTCCTTGTCGTTTTACCACTTTGCGGCCATTTGCCCACTCAACATGAAAAGAAGGCCGCCTCCACAAGTACAAAAGCAGCGGGAGTTTTTACGTATCAGGATATTTTCAAATCCCAAGAGTCAGGCTACTACTAATGTCCTTGAGCACCACTTGGGGGCGTTTCTACACGATATGACACGGTCCACTTGGAGCCCCCTCATTTGTTAGAGCAAACGAGAGATGGCAGACACGGGGCTTGTCTTCTCCCTGCTCTCACAGCAACAGCGAGAGAGACGTTCACGCTCACCTGTGTGCTTGCTCTTTGTTTTCTCCACGATGTACATTACTGAACCGGGTATAAGATTGCCTTTGGAAGCCTGAAGGAGCCCCGAGCAAACAAGTTTATTGCCACCTTCTACTGCCCAAAGGCCAGACTCCACACCGGCCAATGACACTGCCCCTATCAGTGGGAGAAAAAAGCATGTTTTGATTTTGACTTTGTAAGAGACCTTCTACCCTCACTCTCTTCCCCAGTGAGTTAGTTCTTCAGTTTCCCAGGACAAATGCAAGTCCTAACAGTGGTTAGGACTGGTTACATAATTTAAGGGGTCCATTGCAAAATGAAAATACACAGTCCCTTATTCAATAATTAAGAACTTCAACAGGCCATTTAACCAAACAAGACGGGAGAGGGGTAGAGATACTTCTTAGCACAAGACTCTCTTTGAACAGGTTACACACCCTTGGAGTCCTCCACCCACCAATAACGAGAAAAATTGAGTCATACCAAGCGGTACACAATCACAGTGACTGACTCAATCACATTGGCTGAATCATATATTACCAGTCATACCATGATCTTAGGATGTCAGAGCATCTTCAGATCTTCGTCCAAAGATCAATTTGATTATGAGTATGTTTCACTTACATTTCCATTAGCTGTTCGGGAGCAGCCCAACGGCACCTCGGTGTTATCCTCTAAATCAGCAGTTCTTCACGTTCAGGGTCAGACACCTCTGAGAATCGAACGCTTGCTTTCTCAAGCTTGGGGCTATTGACCTTTGCCAGGAGACCCCTCCTCTTACACAGTGTGACAACCAAAGATGTGTTTTCATTCTGGTTGTCTAATGGGCCCTCCACCCCACTCTCTTCCTAAGTAAATCTGTTCTGTAAATTCTGTTCCAAATGTTTTCAAATACAGCCAAATGACCCACCTCACCCCGGAGTTAAAAACCACTGAACTGATGAAAACTCAAAGCACTCTCCCTATAAAAACTCATATCTACATATAGACAATGTTGCCAACAACTTCTGACGTTTCTCAGAGAAAGGTAGCCTTCTCCAACTCCAGCATCAGGTAAGCCCCTTGGTGAAGTAATGTCCCTTACTGTTCCCCAGCTTACCCACAAAGCCGTTGATACTCAGGCTTTGTCCATAATTAACCCTCATGACAGGAGTAACAATTTCGTTGAGGAATTTCTCAGAGAAGCCCGCTTTCTCCAGGGTTTCAAGAAGGGTGCCGTTCAGCATTTGCAGGAAGCCGTCTCCTCCCAGCGCGTGCATTAACTTCTCTACACTGCTGAAGGCATAGTCGTGAGACTGGTAGCGGTAGATCCTTGTTCAAAAGAAGAGACATGGCCTTTAGACACCAAGCAACATGGAAGGAAGAGGGGATATAGGAGCTTAAGAACCATGCGAACTTCCTGATTTCCTTTTAATGGGCTTCCACTTATCACGTAAGGGAGACCCCGCTTAGTTATCCTATTGAGTCAAAGCTTTCCCAGGTTTTCTGGGAGCTCTTGGTCCCCTCCATTTTTCACAGTGCATTGTCTGTGGTATGCACGCTTTGTTGGCTGCAATCATATAATCCCTGGGAATGCCCTTGTTATCATTTGTCGTTAATTCAGAAGCACTCAGTTGTCTAAGATCAAAATCTCTTCTTACCACCAGCTCCAATCTTCTCTCTCCACCAAGGCCCAGCCCCTACCCAATCGAACTTCCCATCCCTCTGTGCCCTTATTGCTCCCTTCTGCTTCCCTCATTGGCCAGTAGCAAACCTCAACCATCTTCCTAACATCTGTTACTCTGTTCACTCACCTGATCAGGATTTATATTCAAACGGTTAAAATCGGTAACTGATCTACCTGCTTCTACTTTCCTTTAAACAATATGCTCTTTTTCTTTGAAACATGTGAATGTCTTCAAAATCACAAAATAGCTTGCCATTCACTTAATTTCTTTAAAATCTGGATTTATAGTTGCATATTAAATAAAATTCAAATCCGTTAGCCTGACTTTTAAAGAAAGAATCATGGGGCTTTAAAGGCTAACTTCCTGCTCCAGGGGTCCATAAAGAAAAGAAAAACAAAGCCGAAATAGGTAAAAAGAATTTGGCCAGAAATCACGTAGCAAATTTAAAGTTCAAGCCCGACGTGCCCCCTCGGCCCACCACCACAGGTGCACGCAAAGCCTCCACGTGAGAAAGCAGAACCACTCATTGTTCCCTCAGGGTGCACTCCGTCATCTCTCTCCCCACCACTGCATCCAGTCTTCCCTCCAACAGAAACACTGCCCACTCCTGGCCACAGAAAACCTCGATTTTTTTACAGAAAAGGGGAAGTCCTGCCTCCTCTCTCCAGAGGTGTCAGCTCTGCTGACTTCCCAGTCCACAGGGATATCAATGTCAAAAGTCCCATGCCACCCAGTCAGCACCAAAAATACTACTCTACATTGAAATACGAGGGGGTACCCCTACAAAAATGGGGTTTTTTCCCCAAAATGTTATGTATTTAATTTTTCTTTACAAAACAAACTAATCACCTTCAAAGTACTCTCCATTACACTTAATACATTTGTCAAATCTGCGATTCCATTCTTGGAAACATTTTTCAAATTATCTGTTTGGATGGCTGACAGCACCTCGTTTTTTCTTCACCTCTTCTGTCATCGCTGTCCTTCCATGTCCCTCTTCAGTTGCAGAGACAAAACGAGGACAGGTGAGTCAAGTGTGTGGGGCAAGAGAGGCATGCTGTTTTTTTGCCAAAAACCAGCACACTAAGATTCCCCCATCTGCCACAAATGAGGCCTTTTTTGTCACACACTGTTACGCAATCTTTTCAGAACCTCTAAATCAGTGGTTCTCAACCTGTGGATCGCGACCCCTTTAGGGGTCGAACGACCCTTTCACAGGCATCACCTGATTCATAACAGAAGCAAAGTTCCAGTGATAAACTAGCAACGAAAATAATGTTATGGCTGGGGAGTCACCGCGACATGAGGAACCGTAGTGAAGGGTCACGGCATAAGGAAGGTTGAGAACCACTGCTCTAAATAAAAAGCTTGATCAACAGTCTGACCTGGTGGAATGAACTTCAAATGTCCCTCAATAAAGAGATGGGGGCGAGATGACGATGGTGTCTTCCATTGGCTTGATTGATGTTTGGTTTCGGGGGTCAAAAGAATAGCACTAAGTCTCCTCACCTCTAATGACCTTGGAAAAAAAGTCTGGGTCACTTCGGAGCTGTTCTTTCACAGCACAGCATGTTTCCACTCCACGATCTTTTTCCTGGTCAGTCAGAACCCGAGGCACATATTTCACAGCAACCCTTCTCATTCCCAAATCTTCTGGTAAAATAAATAGTCCAGATAAACTTCCCCATCTCTTCAGTGGCCCGTCATCAGTCTTCGAGTACAAGTGTATGAATTTTGTCAACATTTTCGTCCATACAGGAAGTTGACGGACATCCAGAACAAGGTTTGTCATCAACATTTCACCTTTTTAAAAATGAGAATACCACTTGAGTTTTTCCCATAGTGATGTCCTTATAAGCTGTGTTCAACATCACAACAGTTTCTGCAGCATTTTTCCTGAGCAGGAAGCAAAAGTTCACAGCCAGACACTGTTCTCAAAAAAAAAAAATCACAAAACATGAGGTTCAAGTAAAACTGCTTTTACAAAAAAATATTCGCTGTGACCAGAGAGAGCTTTCCCACAGGACACCACTGGGTGCGCTAACTCAGAGCAAGTTGCTCTAAGCTTGCCCAGGGGAAAAATGTGTACTACAAAAGCTCCACTCAGCAGAGCTGTTTTCTGTTTTGGGGGTACCCCTCATATTAACTGGCACGATGTAAAGTAATATTTTGGGTGCTGAAGGAAATCGAGGTTTCCTTTATGGATTTAAAGAAAGTTTGCACAAATTGTTTCACGTGGTAAATCCAGACAGTTAGTTGTTCCTGACGTTGCGAGTGATACAAAGATGAAAAAGATAAAAGTATGGTTCCTTTCCCTTAAGGAGCTTATACTTAGGGACAAGGGACAAGGCACAAGTACAGACAAGGAAATAAAACGAAAAAAGAGATAAGTGGCTAAGAAAGATCACTATAGCACCAACAGAGATCATGGGAGGAGAGTTTACTCCAAGCTTCTCAGAATAAACTCAATTTATCAAAGAGCTGCAAAAATTTCAGTATCTTTCAACTCCATTTTCCCATCAATTTTGTGAAGCACCCTCCCTAATCCCACCGCCCCCAATAGATTCAATATTGTCTATGTAAATTACTAGGTCATATTCAACAGAATAAAAATGAAGTTCTGTACGGAAATTGATTAGATATCAGTGCCAAAATTGAGAATGCAAAAATAACTCCTTCCAACCACATCATTTAGCTAACAGAGGAGATTGGGAGATGGAGGGTAAAAACACCGGTTCCTTCTCATGAAAAGAAGCATAATCTCCTGATAAAACAGTAGCCAACGGAGTACCCTATCCATGGGCACCATAAAAACTTCTTTCCCATCCGGGTGCCCACCAATCACACTCACTCAAGGCTCCTGAGGCTTCCCAAAGGGTCAGATGAGGCACTACCTGTCTGTACCATAAACACAGTGTGCACTTACAAATTTTTACGATACTAGTTGCATTAGAATATTATTAAGAAGCCAAATTTACAAGTAACTAGTAGTCTCTGCTTACAAAGAATTTTCCTTCTTGAGCTCTATTTGTATAAACCAGCGGTTCTCAACCCGTGGGTCGGTCGCAACCCCTTCAGGGGGTTGAACGACCCTTTCTCAGGGGTCGCCCGGTTCATAACAGTGGCAATAATTTTATGGCTGGGGGTTCCCCACCACATGGGAAACTGTATGAAAGGGTCGCGGCATGAGGAAAGTTGAGAACCACTGTACAAACCATTAACAGTTGCCCGTACATTCTATTTATTCATCCATTACGCATTCAACAAATACGCCTGGAACACCTACATCCGTTCTGGGCACAGATGATATGGGGGTCAACTCAACAGACAAAAGAAAAGCCCTGCCCTCAAAAAGCTCTATGTTCCAGGCAAGGGAACAACAACAAAAAAAGATTGGATGCAAATAAAGTACTAACCAAATAAAAGAGGATAATTCCTAGGGACGAACATAAATCAGAGAATGAAGACTGGGAGTGCCTGGGCTTGGCAGGGTTGCAGTTCTGTACAGGATGGGGCCAAGTGCTCAGGGAAGGCCTTCTCTGTGATCAGCCCTCCAGAAAGACAACACACACAAGCCTGCAGACAGACAGCTGAGTGGGGAGAGGTCAGGCTTAGATAGGAGCAGTGCAAATGCCAAACAGCAGCAGCGTATCCAGTGTGAGGTCAAGAACTGAACTTTACTCGGAGTAATTTGGTCTTATCCTGGGTTCCTAAGAATAATGAGAGCAAACTCCAATTTTTAAAAATGTTCTGGACAAATGAGGTTATCCATTAGACTTTAAGAGTTTGTACTAACGAGTGGATGCTGAACAAACTAGAAAGACTATCATTTGGTCTGTTATCAACTGAATGGAAGATGGAAGGGCATCATGATTCAATCAATCATACCTATACAATGAGGCTCAAGG